TATATTTGTGACGATGTATGGAGTCTTCTATGAGATTATTTATCTACTCTTTATTCAGCATTATGCAATGACTCACAATTAATACTTGAATTTTTATTGTTACTTTTAGATTGGTATTGTATTGACTTTTGCACTCACCATTATTACTGTGATCTTTGGGGAGATTATTGGAGTAGTAGCCAATGGACTATTGGCCCAGTGTGGTTGGGGTAGCCAGGCTGCCCTGTTGAGAGTTCTGTATAAGATGCCAGGATGTGAATCCAATGGAATATAGAAGGGGAGATTAACTGGCAGCCCACATGAGCAGCCACCATTAGAAAGCCACACCCACCACCACCAGTCTACTTGTTGGCCAGAAGTTATTGGAATCACAGTTAACATCCCATTGCCAGCACTGGGCGCCAGCACCTACAGGGGACCTTTCTCGTGCTAGTTGCTATCTCCCCAATACTTGAACTTTTAAAAGTATATTAGTATAGCATCAGTGCCTATCTGCAAGGCCACCTGATTGGTATATTTCACCTCTAGATTACTGACATCCTTGCATCATCATTTTTTTCTTTTAGGACTTGTCAACACACATTGACTGATAGACTTACTGACAGGCATTGACTGTTTGAAGTAATGAATGTAGGGGTCAGGGAAATAGCTCAGAGTATATGGAGAATGTTTTGCATCTTTTGCATATCAATTGCCCAAAACTTGATCCCTCATGCCGTATAGCCCCCTGAGAACAACCAGGTGTCTTCCTCATGGCTACCAGAAGTGCTGGACTTGAACAGTGCCACAGTGCTGTGTCTCAATATTGAACTGTCCTTCCTGGCTTGCTAAATATTGACAGGAACAGCTCCTGGTCCTCTGAGCACTTCTTGAGAGACCCTTTCCGAAATGAAGGACGTTCTATCTATAAAGGTGACATTGCAAGCTAATATGATTGAGATCCTGGAAGTAAGACTTGCCTATCGTATTCTACTATGCTGTGCCAGACACTGTTGAGATGCAATGATTAGCTGTGTACAGTTTTTGACCTTGAGAAAAATATCAGCCTTTGTGGAAGTTATGTAGAACAGAATGACAAAAGCACAATTGAGAAGATAGTAAGTGGTTTGAGGAAGAGCAGAACTATTGGAAAGATCTAAAGACTCTGAAAAGCTAAAGGGAGGAGGAAGCAGAGCTTGAAAATATAAGATTTCCACGTACACAAATGGAAAGAAGGAAAGTCCAGACAGAACTGGTTAAATGCAGAAATGTTCATGGACGACTGGTTAAAGAAACTTTAATACATCTACACAGTAGAATACTATGCAGCTGTTATGAAAGATTAAGTTATGAAATTTTCTTATAAGTCGATGGACATGGAGAGTATCATGCTAAGTGAAATGAGTCAGAAAGAGAGGGACAGACATAGACTGACTGCACTCATTTGTGAATATAAAATAACATAATATGAGACTGACACCCAACCCAAGGACAGTAGACCCAAGGTCCAGGAATATTGCTCCATAGTTGGAAGCCTGCTTCAGGAGCTGGGGGAGAAGGCAGCTGGAATAGAGAAAGGATCACTAAGTCAATGATGGCTAAAGGAATCATTTGGAATGGGAGATGTGTGCTGAAAGTAGATCAAGGACCAAATGTGATAGCCTCTCAGTATCTATATTGCAAACCATAGTGCCCAAAAGGAGAGAGAGAGAGAGAGAGAGAGAGAGAGAGAGAGAGAGAGAGAGAGAGAGAGATAGTATAGGAGAAATTGTCTGCCATGGAGGCAGAGGGAAGGTTGGAAAAGGGGGGTATATTGGGAACATTGGTCGTGGAGAATGTGCACTGGTGGAGGAATGGATGTTCAATCATTGTATGACTGAAACTCAAACGCAAGTGCTTTGTAACTGTATCTCATGGTGATTCAATTAAAAAAAGCGTTCATGGAATATGAAGACCTTAAAGTTGTCACTAAGGAGGGAAAGCAATGGATGAAGTTGGTGTGGCTAAGGCAAATCCAAGAGAATAAAGAAGACTGAATGTGAATCAGAGGTCTCTCTCTTGTATGAACTTGGGTATGTTACTTCACCTTTCTGAGATCTTGTGACCTCATTTTTTGAACAGAAATAACACTATAGGATAGCTGTAAGGACTAACTGAACTTAAACGTTCACTGAATGTTAATATTCTTCTCCCATATATTTTTTCTTATTAAAATCACTGTCTTCAAAGAAAATGAGAGGACTTATGTCTAAGGAGCCAGCTCTTATGTAGTAAGCTTGGATGTCCCTGATGGTGATATCTGAGTAAAGATGTTCGCTAAATAATAGTGAATGGACAATATCAGTGGTACTTCTCGGTTTACTAGGAAAATCATGAGCAGAAATAAGCATTCCATAACATTTAAGTTTGATAGTTATCTGGTATGCTTTCTTATAGTAGTAGAAACATCTTGTGATGTTCAGAATTTTTTTGTTATTTGATGGGAAAAGTAAAGGGTATGTGAGCTTGCCTTTCATCTCTAATCAGATAGCAGCGCGTATTTATTTTGTCCTGAAAATAACTCTAATGCATCCCTTTTTCGTCATCATCACAACTACTCACTCAGCTCAGTTATAGTTGAAACTTCCCCTGCAGTCAGAAATCACTGTGCACTTTCCTCCATGTACTAATTCGCTCCAGTTTGAAAATTGTGAACTTAATTTTGGTGAGAGAGAATGGGAATCAATTAACATGACCTGGGGATCTATTTAATTCTATGCATTCAGTTATACTTATTAATAAGGTCAATCACAACAACAATAACCATTACAAAAGAGCAAATGACAAATATTAAAGACAATATTTTAGGCCCCAAGTTTTGGAGTTTATGTGCTTGATTATCTTTCCCTAAAATAATTTGGTGTTATCATTGTTTCCATGACACAGATAAGGGAAAGAGTGTTTCTATATTTTACAACTTGACAAAAGTTCAGTTTAACAAGAATTTAGGAAAGGTGGTTTACTTTGTGAGCTCTCGTTCGTGAAGTACATGAAAGCACTGAGTCCCCAGTCACTCACTTAGTGGCGGGTACAAAGGATGAAGTCGAATAGGTAACCACATCCTCATATGGGAAAAGACCCAGGATTCTCCTGAAGGGAAAAATACATACATTTGGGTAGGGGAGAGGAAGAGAGATGAGGAGAGACTAAGTGGCTTTATTTTCTCAGACACAGAGGGGAAAACTGCACCGAGTAGTAGCACTGCACTGCACTGTCCTCCCATTGTTCATCAATTTTCTTGAGCGGGCACCAGTAACGTCTCACAACAAATTGTGAGACTTGTTGTTACTGTTTTTGGTATATCAAATACAACACGGGTAGCTTGCCAGGCTTTCCCATTGTGCGGGTGAGATACTCTCGGTAAGCCTTTATATTCTCCGCAGCTTAAAAAACTGTGGAGTAATTAAAGCCAGACTGGTAGCAAAACTCCCAAGATACAGATTCCATTTTCTATCAGTGATTTCCACTTCCGTTCAGACTAAATAGCTCTGTGTTTGCTAGGAAGCCTGAAACAGTTACTTGCTCTATTTGGGCAAAGGCAGCAGCAGAAACGTCTGATTTCACTCTCATTATCATCATTTCACACCAGCAGGCCTGTGTTTTTCTGCTCCTCTTTTTCACTGGAGTCGGTTATAACTCCAAAATGTGAGAAAGCTGGTAGAATGGATTACTATTTCTTAGGATAGTAGCCTGGTTAATGGTGGTGGGGGGAAGGGACAGGGGGATAGATAAAATATAATTAATGGAGTGCCATAAGTTGATCCGATTCTAGAGATGTGGAAAACAAAACAAAACAAAACAGAAACCTGATTTCATCGTAGACTTTGCTTTTCTCTCACATCCTACAGGGAACCCATCAGAGAAAGCCCTAATTGCCCCAAATGTATGATATTTCCACTTGGAAGTTCTTTCATTGCTATTGTCATCTAAGTCATCTTCAATTCAGCTGCCTGGTTGTTACAGCCCCAAAACTTGTTCTCTTTGCCTTCAAAATATGGGCAAACTGATGCTGTGAAAATAGAAGATTTATTCTACTGCTCAAAAGCCATCATGACACCCAAGTTACTTTTAGAAAAGTCAAAGTCTTTACAGGGTTCACCAGGCCTCATAAGCTGTGCTGGTTCCTTTTTTCTCACTTACTGTAGATAGATTTACTTCAATGCTGTCTCTACAGCACGCCCAGCTGCTTCTATTTGAGGGTGCTCAGATAACCTCAAAGGTCCTTCATTTTCTTTGTATTTGCTCAATAAATTTTGTTATATATACTGCCCTATGACCACAATATTTCGACATTGCATACCTCTACATTCCTTACTTTCTTTCCCTTTTCCATAGCAGAGCAATAGCACAGCGGGTAGGGCGTTCGCCTTACAAGCGGCCAACATGGCCGACCCAAGTTCAATTCCTCCGCCCCTCTCGGAGAGCCCAGCAAGCTACCGAGAGTATTCGATATGCCAGACACAGTAACAACAAAGTCTCCAATGGAGACGTTACTGGGCCCGCTCGAGCAAATCGACGATCAACGGGAGGGCCTTTACCTTTACCTTTCCATAGCAGATGTCATCTATCAAAATATAATACAACATGTTTATAAACCTTTTTCCTGTAAAAACTATAAGGCCAGAGATCTTTGTTCCCTCAGCTCATTGACAGTACCTGAATATGTAACATGTGTTCCCAGTGAAAAGTATTGAAAAAATGGATGAGTCTTAGAAGGGAATAATTGAGTTTTTTTGTTTAGGAACATAGGGCCTGGACTGAGAGTACCTAATCAAATTTTCTGTTCCAGTCCTTAATAGTTTGGAACCATATCTTTAGTCAATATAAGCTTCAGGTTCCTAATATTTAAAAAAATGGGTTAAGTAATAGAATACTACTCATCAGGAGAATAATTAAGAGACTAAGTACTCATAAGAATACCAAGATGAATTATCACGTGCATATTGAATTCTCAAGAGGTGTTGTCATTATACATCAAAAAAATTCAGTTTTTACAACTGTGTTCTTTCTCCTGAAGAGGCCTAGTGTGCATTTGTTGCAAATAGCAGCCTCTTTGATAATGTATGTCACCTGCTGCTTAAGCACACTTGTCTAAGGGACTTTGGAGACAGTCTGGGAATTCATATCTGCTCTCTTGCTGTCCCTTGCAATCTTAGGGACCAAATATGTATGTCCGGTGTAAATGAAGCATGTTTTTCACTGGGCCAGGTTCAAATTCCCTGACCTCCAGAAGACCCTCATCTCCAAGAAGTAGGGCTTTACCAAGTTTAATGTGAATAGGTTTGAATAAAATGCAGCTGAAGAGTGACTCATTCCATATTACTATGGGGTCAGATATATCCCTAATCATGAATCACTGAAAAATTCTGCACTGCATTTCTGAGAGTCTCAGAGACTGCTCTCTTCCTGACCCCCTGTTCATCTCTCCCCTACCACTGCAATAAGTCCTAGTTTCCATCAAAAAGTAAATAAAAAACAGCATTTGTATAATTTATTTTAAACCCAGGATTCAGTTTTATTCCTGGCAGCGTTTGTGGGACACCAATGTCATACCTGATGAGGCTAAGTGGGGGATATGCAATGTTGGGAATCAAACCAATGGCCTTACTTATGGAGAGATTTCTGGTTCTTAGCTCAGAGATGTAGACTGGTCCATGTCTTATTTAGCATATAGGCTAGACTTGCAAACACAGTGAATTTCAAGGAGGCAGAAAGACAGGCAAAGACACAGAGAGTCAGAGAGAATAAAAGTGTACAGACTTCTAAAGGTCTAGACGTGGAGCTGGCTCACCAACTATTCTATCCCAAAAGTTGGATCTAATTATTAACAATCATTTGTAATAAGTTTACCACATGCATCAATTTATGCAAGTCATGTCTTTACAGAGAATAGATAAGCCACAATCTTAATATCTCAATCTTCTCTTATTCAGTCATTATCTAATATTTATTGTCATACCAGAAATTCATATTTTCAAAGGTGTGTATTTCTCTCTCTCTCTCTCTCTCTCTCTCTCTCTCTCTCTCTCTGTGTTTGTGATTATGTGTGCTGTTTGGAATCAAACCCATAGTCATATATATGCAAGGCATGTACTTTACCATTGAACTACATTCCTGCAGAGGCAATCTTTTAAAAGTTTAATGCAGATCACAGTCCTGCTAATTTATTCTATTTCCCCAAAGATATGTTCTTTTCCCCTCATCACTTCTGATTGATTTTGGTCTGATTTGTGAATCTCTTAAATCCTCTAACCTTAGCTCTCAGATTTCTCTGATCCCAGTCTCTGTGAAAAGTTGATTCATCATGATTTATAAACTTCCATTAATTTGTAATGTACATATTTGTAAATCAACTCATAATAAATCCCGGCTTTATTCATTAGTTTGCTTTCAGAAACAGGATTCTGTTTTAAATGGAGACATATTCATTGATAGATGCAGTAATCAGAATAGCCCAGGCAGTATTTCCACAGAGGTTCCACTTAAAATCAAAACTGACCTTAAACCAAAAAAACTACTGCTTGGTGATTAAGTGACTGATTGAATAGTCCCTTAAGTGAGTACAAGAGACCATCCTCTAAGTAGTCTAAGTAGGCAGTCTTAGAAGCTGTAATTTTAGGACTCTGGAAAACACATTCATCCATCTGCTCAGTGATCACTGAAATTGACAGCACACAAAGATTCTAATTACATAATTAAAAGTAAGGCTTGAATTGCAAATACCTCATTGGCTCTAACACAGGGACTTGCGTTCATGCTAGCGATATAAATATGATTAGGTAGAAAGAGAATAGACAAACAGAGAGTCTATCATCTATACAATGTATTTATTCATTATATGTATTCTGAGCACCTGGGTGTTCAGATACTTGTTATCCTTTTTCCTTTTTAAAAATTTTCCATTTTTGTTTCTTTTTTAAGCGAAGCAAAATAGTATTTATTTATTTTTGGTTTGGGAGCTATACCCAGCAGTGCTCGGGGATTATGCCTGGCTCTGCATTCAGGAATTATTCCTGGTGGATATAGGGAACTATATGGAGTGCTGGAGATTGAACCAGGTCAGCCACATGCAAGACAAGTTTTTTACCTGCTATACTATCACTCTAGCCCTTAAAACAGTTTTATTTAAAGAAATTACCCAGAGAAATATGGAGGGGAGAGAAAAAGAGAAAGACATGTTCAGGAGACACCATGGACTTCTCCAGACGGGAAAGCTGAGAGATTGACATTCAGGCCAATCTTCAGAGTGGAGAATGGACCTTATTTTTCTTCTTCCAATCCTCTATGCCATCATGATACTAGCTCCAACCCTTAATGCAGAACTCTTCTCAACTAGACAAAAAGGAAATATCCTCACATAAATTCAATGTTTCTAATGCACTAAGCATGTCTTTTTATGATTTTCAATTATTTAAATAATATTGATTTATGAGTACATGTATATTTTGGGATACAATTTCATATCTCCTCAAAATATATCTTAGGATACCACAAAAACAACAACAACAACTAGAGAACCAATATCCTCTAACACAGTCTATTGGATCTCCCCATGTTGGGGCTTTGGGAGGAACAAATCTTTTTATTCTGATGTTTTGACTACCTGTTTCAGGGTTAATTCCTTGAGAAAGCAAACTCCCCAGGAATTCACCTTTAGATGCAAACCAAACGTGGCAGACCTATACTATCCCATTTACTCTTTTATCTAACTCTTAAATTTTTAAGTCAACATCCACCTGCCTTAATACCCCGAATCTACTGATATCTCTTAAACTAGCCAACCTATTTAAACAGCCTCAGACATTCCCCTTCACCACCACCACCACTGCCCCCCAGCAAAAACAACAAAGGGTCTTTGTATGTTACCCCCTCATTCCCTCTGCTTCTACTCTTGGTTTCCTACTGTGGTCCTCCATAGAGTTATGTGTTTCTTGTACCTATATCACAGATACCAATTTATGATCATAAAAACTTTGCCTTCGGGACCACCATTTTCATGTTCGCTATATTTACATACCAAATTCTGTACCTGTCCAATACCTGTCCTCCTGTTGTTCATCAATTTGCTTGAGCGGGCACTAGTAACATCTCCTTTGTGAGACTTGTTGTTACTGGTTTTGGCATATCGAATATGCCAAGGGGACCTTTCCAGGCTCTGCTATGTGGGCAGGATACTCTCCATAGTTTGCTGTGCTCTCCGAGAGGGATGAGGGAACTCGGGTTGGCCACGTGCAAGGCAAATGCCCTACCCGCTGTGCTAGCACTCCAGCCTGATATCAAATTCTACCTTTGTTTTATTTATTTTTGCTGTGGGGTCACATCTGGCTGTGTTCAGGCCTTACTTCTGGCAAAGTGCTCAGGGATCACTCCCTGTGGTACTTGGAGGATCATATGCAGTACTGGGGATTGAAGTCAGATTGGCCATGTGTAAGGCAAGGGCCCTGCCCACTGTACTATCTTCCTGGCCCCCAGCTGTGTTTAAGAAAGCACCTACATACTTGTACTCAAGCAAGAAGTAAAGTATGTTTATCTCCCAAATTCCATTCGTATACCCATTGAGTTGAATCTTAATATTACAACATATAAAAAGGTAGTCCTCAGAATACCTACTAGTAACAGGGTAAAAAACCAATAGCATAGTATGTATTAAAATATATATTGTATTTATTTTATGTAATAAAATATTTTATTAGGCAATATTAATAAATGTTGCCTAAGCCTCTGTCTTAAGAAGAAAGTACCTGTACACCCTAGCACAATGCAGGGACATGCTAAGTACTCATTTATAATTTCTTCATTGAAAGGTTTAGAGATCTAAAGTTAAAAATATGCTATACTGTCCTGAAAAAAATTACGTCCTAGTGAGAGTGAGAGGCAATACGTGAAATCACAACACTAAGAGTATCTAAGCAACATGCAGCTCTCAGGGAAGTTTCCAGAGCAGGTGAAATTTACATTTGGTCTTGAAGAATAAGCAGATTTTTTACTTGAAAAATGATCGTGTTCAAAATCATAGAGAAACACTGTTTCTTGGCAAAGTGTGAGAAAGAGTATATAGTTTGTATTTAGAAACACAAATATATTTCTGTAGTTTCATAATTTTCCTTAGCTTGTATTTTTTTCTATCAGCCATTCTACCTAGTAAGCAAATTGCAAGGCTTCTTGAGCAGAATCTCAGAATTGCATTCTGTCAGTCTCAGGAGATAATTCATTTCTTGATATTGGGAATTTAGAGGGATGGAGGCAGATCCTGCCAACTTCGAGGAATTCAAACTTTAGTTCACAGTTCTGAGAGCGGTTGGGTGCAGGCAAGTGGGAAGAAGCATGTGTTGATGTCTCTGACCCTAAAGTGCATCCAAGAGACAAATGAGCAGGTGGGTTGAATTTTTAACATTAGATTTCTATTACATGATGACTCAGTAAATTTTGGGGTACCCAATTCAAATAACAATGGTGAAGGCCAATGGGTGCTATTCTCCTGAGGCAAACTATTGAACACAGCAGTTTTGCAATGACCCAGGTCACTGACACTCACTAATGCTCACTATTTCCAAACCCCAAAAGTTTGCAAAATATACCATTTATGAAAAACTTTAAGCACTTCATTATTTCCAAATTGCTCTACTTTTTTAGAACCAAACTGTACTAGTATCCAAAGAAAATGCATCTTGAATTTCTAAAGAGACTGAATTATTCTAAATCTCTCTGCAAAGCAAGCACACAATTAACCGGGGCTCCTGTATGCCCCAGGCATGCTACAAAAAAAAGCCAAAAAGAAACACCAGGTCCAAGTGTGTGGAAACTTCTAGGAAATCTGTTTTCTCTTGGGTAAAATAAAGCCAACCCAACCTACTGAACACATTCTGCTATATGATTTAAAAAATAATAGAAATACCTCTCAGGTAAATAAAAGCCCTAATTAGCAGAGTAGCTCTTTGTTAATCCACTAGCAGAGCTATTTATTTTCTTAAGGGCTTACATAATAACTATCCTTATTTCCTGCTAGCAGTCCAGCAATGTTTACAGTTAATATTCAAAGTTTAGAGCCTTTTCATGCAGATGACCACCTGGAAGGCTTTCACCAGTTTGCTGATATCTTTAGAATCCGTGGAT